TCCATCTGTGATCGAACAAAGTGTTGAGAATACATGAATCCACTGTGGCTGGGATGAAAAACTCTAAAAATACAGTCCTGCATATAAAAGTGCAGAAACAAGGTACATCGTTTAAAACACTTTCAACCTGAAAGACACAGAATGTATCCAAGTGATCAAATACATCCTGACGACCCACAAAATGTGGTTATGGGTAGGTTTTTGTTCATTCCCATAAATGCTGACACAAACAACCAGAACAAAACAGTAAGATAGAAGTGTAAGAATATGCATATAAATATAAATCTGAAAAATAAGAAACCAATATACATGCCTACAAAAATTTTACGACTATTTCAGAGCTGTAATTTCAGATCTGGAGAATGTCTTCAGATACAAGAGATGACATATGGACACAGATATCAGAGTAATTCCTGTTTTTTTCATTATTTAAATATGCATACATTTCACCTTTTCGTGGAAACATTGTATGACATTTACAGAAAGGTAAGGTAAATATAATTCCCCTTTCCAGAAGGCTACAATAATTTTGTGCCACCTTCAAAAGATAATTCAAAGATCAGGCTCAAAATAATTTTACACAGGAAAACAAAAGAAAAAAATCCTTTAAACACTGTTTGACATCAGCCACTTAAATGAATGAATATTAAAATTTCCAATATGGTTAAGTAACTATACAGTCAAATATGTGGTATTCAGTATGTAAATATTTAATTTTAAAAGTTACTAAGTTAGAAAAGATCATTTAAAATATCTAAAATTTCCTACTGCTCTCAGTTAGACCCCACCTGCTGCACAACTTCAGAGGGGAGTTCTGATTTCCACTGCTTAAGCTGTCGGGATGCAAAAGAGTGCAGGGCATAGGAGATGGTGCCGTACTCTATCCACAAGGAGAGATTAGAGCTGTCAATCTCCAGGGCTCGCTTGAAGCAATTCAAGACAGGAGTAGAGTGCTTCCAGATTGGGCCATCACTTTTCAATTCATTAGAGTTCAACTTGTCCTGAATACGACTTGCTCGAGCCAGAGCCATGCCAGCCCATGAATCAAACCTGTGCAAGCAAGAACATAACACATGAACAATTTCTCCCCTAAACATTGCACTGAATGACACAGACAAGATTCATTTCGTTACATCCACAACTTTCTCTTCCTTTCATTATATGTTCTCTTGAAACAGATTTCTGCACCTCCTCCTCCCCTCATACTGGAACAGAGGTTGTATAGCCCAAATCGTACTGATTTTATTAAAAATGGTTTCCTAATAAAGCAGTGTCCCCAGTAATTATCACATATGAAAAGCAGATGAAACAACACAGTTTATTTGCCATGAAAAAACAGCGTATCTATACTTCTAATGGCAGCACTCCCACTGGTTTCTTTTCTCAGTAACCACGCTGTCCTGTCCGAACACTGTCACCCTTTATTTCTATAGACCAGCAGACGGTCATTATGACATTTTGTATGGTTGGACTGAACTGTGAATAGCCTTTATCATCGTCATCATTTTCCAACATAAAAATCACAAAACTCAAAATGCATTCATGTAGGAAAATTCTGATGAACAATAAAGATTGCTTACTGAGGGGAATGTTCAGGATCTAGTCCTGTGTTATCAGATCATTGACCATACAGTCTGAAAAGTAGTTTCCATATTCCATAATCTCACATTAACCTCTCTGGAATTTTTAAATTTTACCATGATTCTAACACCAAAGGAATAATCACAATGTCCTCACATTTTTGCTTGTAATTTCTTGCTGATTGCAATTGAAAACTCATTTCTGGGTCAAGTGACCTGAACAGATTCCTGAGGGGAATGGAAGTGAACTGTTATACAGACATTTGAAGAAGTAACATCTCATGTGACTGGGGTAAAAATACTATGCTACCACATAAAGCATCTTCTGAGCAACAAAATGTCACATATTAAAGTAAAAATGCATTTCACTTATTTATTAATTTAGATTTCAAAGTATCAAAACTACAGAAAAATAGAGGGGGAGGTTGTAATTTCTTTATCAGGCTTCAAACAAAAGTTTTCTCAATCTGCTAATCACAGTTCCCAGACTAGAAGATTCAATAACATTAACTGCAGCTTTCCTCTGTAGATTTCACATACAAAATTGCTCTGTGCCTTCACCTTCCCTTTTGTCTCTGTTATGTGACTCAATTTAGAAATAGTTTTCTTGTCTCAAATCTATCAAACTAGGGTTTTTGTCACTGACCTTGTTCTATCAACTTCAAGGAGAATTAAAATAATAGCTAACATCTAATATGCAAACCCTATATTTAATCAGTAAATTTAAAAATTATTTAATTTCATTTTAGAATACTATTAGTCAAAACATGCTTTATTTTTAAGATGAGAGAGCTTAATCTTGGTGGTATTTCATTAAGTTATAAAGTATCAAGAAATAAGGTGGTTTAGTTTAAATATCACTCAAATACTTTACTTGTGCTTGTACTCTCTGAGCAGTTCTCCAGCAACAAGATCAATACTTTTAGAAAGAGGTCAGCCTAAACAGTTAATCCACTAAAGAATGCTATTTGTACTACAGCTATGCTATTAAACAGTGACATTTTCCATTCCTTCTCATGTATGGACATGCCAAAACAAAGAACAAAATGTGCAAAAGAAAAATATTGATTCAGTCCTTGCCCTTCCCAGTTATTTTTTATTTTAGCTTCCCCTTCCCCTTTCCTTTCATTTTTTTTTTAAATTTCAAAACAATCCAATAATTAACACTAGGTTTTGGTTTTTCTTTTATTTGTTGGGTTGTTTAAGAGATGCCCTTAATTATACAATTAATTTATAATAATAGATTGCAGGCAGCTTTTTTTTTTTTTCTTTAACTCCTGAAACCAAAATAAGTACCTTTTGTTGTCTGCTTTTCAGTACTGAAAGAAGTGAGAAGAACGGATTATGCACAGCAGGATTCAATAATACTGACCTGTTCGGACAAATGCAAATGTCGTGCATGTAAAATTTAATTGCCTTAGACTGCTCTTTATTCTTGAAATGATAGTCTGCCAGAAGATAGTACAATTCAGTCACCACTGGTGGAGAATAGTCTGCACCATCGGGGAGAGATGGTGCCTGAAAATAAAAAAAAAGTGAAGGTTCATATTAAAGAAAATGTTCATATTAAATGAGCTGCACACTTGCTTCTTCCTTGCAGTGAAAGTAGCCTTTTCATCACAGAATCTGAAGGTATTGAACATGAAGACAGTGAAAGCATTCCACAGATACACAGGGCACTTACTAATGAACATCTCATTCTGACTCCATATTAATCAATATTACATCTTGCCATTCCAAGACTAAAAGCGTTGCTGGTGTCATTCTTATTTCACTTAAATGCAATTACCCAAGGAAAACCAACATCATGGAATAAATTATTCCCCTAACTATCTCTAAGTCAACATAAAAATAACAACAATAATTTTTACTCCTTTCAATTTTATTTTTTTTAAAACCAATTGATTATACCTTGCTGCACGTTCCTTCAATATAGGCAGATACAGTATCTAGGCTCAGCATAGGCTTGTCTGTTCGAGGAACAATTGTAGCAGTCTTCTTCAAAAGGTTGGCCAAATCAGCAGACACAGTACTGGTTTTGTAACTATCAAATTCCGGAAGAGTTTTAGGCTTAAAATACTCAAACATGAACAAAGCATCTTCCCATGTTAGATCAACCTGAAGAGGGAGGTAGATGAGAGGGGAAAAAAATTATCTCAAATTCCAAAATTCAAGTCTACTAGCGATAATTTTCTATGGCTTTTCTAGTTTCTAAGAATACACATATTACTCTAGCAGGAAACAAATTAAACCTCCCAAGAACAGAACAACTAAAAGCACCATTAATTTATGCTGCTCACATGTACATGGCATACTGCTCACTGATTTAAAAGACTAAGGTACTGGGCTGTAACTTAGTGTATCTCACTGAAAAATAAAGTCATTCTACTTGCTTAGAAGAGTTGCTCAGAAAAATCGTTTATAAGCAAGAATCAGTTGCAAGCATCCAGAGTGACACTGAGATTATGGGAAACACATGGAGGAGAAAAGCTCTACATCTTCAATTTCAAACACAAGTAACAAGAACAAATGAAACGAGAATCAGACAAAATTCTGAGACTGAAAAATCTTCAAACTCTCTACTGAAAGGTACTTTCAGAATTTATTCCTCATTTTCCATTCACTTTTTCTTGAAAACAGTAAAAAAAAAAAATTATCGGCTATACTAAGTTTTTTCCTTTTATTGTTCATCTTATTCCTTACAGTAAGTTTTGCTACTGTACTGAAAATGGAGAAGTCGCATTACTAAAAATAAATTTGTCAATGACTTCAATAAGAACTTTTTCATCCAGAATTGCCCAAATGCAATAGATTTTTTTTTTCCTTGGGCAGAGGGTAATCTCCTTATACTTCCCTTTTTGTTAGTTATTCTCATTTTTTCATTATCTTAATTTTCTAACAGGTAAGTTTGAGAGACAGAATTCACAAATATTCAGTGAGGAATATCGTAACAGTATTTGTGTCTTTAAAAAGGTCTCTTCAAAGGAGCCAGACAATTGTTTTGCTTGTATGAAACTGTTTTTCATTTATAATTTTATGATCATCTGCATTTGGTAAATGCAAAAACCATCTGTGGTTTTTGAACAAAATCAGTGATGTTTAAAGGCAGAGGATTGCTGACTTACTTTTTCTGTCCCTTCCTTAATACTACAACCCTCAGCCCAAGCCACTCTGTAGTTGTTCTTCTCCCAAACTCAGCTGAATTTCACACATTTCTCATAAACAACTACCAGATATTTACTATCACAGATTTTAAAATAAGCTGTAATATAATTTACTTGCATAATTTTTAACAGTGACATTTTTCACTTTCATAAACTGCAAGGTTGGCTGCTAAAGTTTTCTTCTCTCAAGCTGACTTTTTTCCTTTCTAATTTTCCTCAAACTTGAACTTCTTTCTCTGTTGAAAACAGGAAAGTCATGGCTCAATAAAATCAATTTGTCAATAGTTTAAAAACGGCAGACTACAGTGAAGAAGACTATACCAGCATTTCATTTCAAACATCTGATCCTCTATATTCATAAAGGCTTCCACATTTTAAAAAATTAATTTATTTTCTACAATATGTAAAACACATAAATTTTACAAGGAAATAAAAGTAATCTTTCTCTGAAATATATTAAGGTGCATTAAAACCAATCAAGGGTGTATCTTTCATCACTTCAGGATATTCCACTGACATTAAATAATACATATCTTACCTGCTGTACTGAATGTTCTTCTAGGTACCTTGCTTTGCTTTTTTTGCTAGGGAAACCATATAAACAATAAAAACACTGTTCCAAGGCTGTTTCCAGCTCTTCTTTGTATGGATGAGTATCTTCAGAAGTGGATGCTGCAAGTTCTTTTTGTAATACCTGAACCTACAACACCACAAATATCAATCAAAAAGTCCTCTGCAAGCTGAAGATTGTTACCTAGTTGTCTGAAGGCAGATGATGCAAACAACATTAAGGAACTACACGTATTTTTCACCAGTTAAAACCAAATATTACCCATATTTCTGTAAACTAGTCTCAATAGTACTGGTACTGCAATAAAGTGCTTTTATTTTTTTCCCCTATGTTAATTCACAAACTCTTGTCTTTAATCAATGAGATGAGATATCAGCTTAATGTTTCAGACTTAAGATCATTCAAAGTCTTCCACTACACATCAGGTTACTTCTGTGAATATAAAAACTACCATTTTTTAACCCTATGAACAAAGAAAAGGCACAGAATTTCTGCCCTAATTCACAAACATCAATTCCCTCTGCATGGAAAAAGTGGGATGGAGAGGACTTTGCAGAAGAAGAAGGGATGGCTAACAAAAATCTGGCTAAAAGGGATATAGAATTGTACAGTATGAACAGTATTACACAGATGGCTACACACCAAGGAAAGTGGCTGGATTGATCCCAAATTACTAAACACAGCAGCAAGTTACTATCTTTAACTTCAACATTACAAGAAAAAGTCCCCATTGGTAGTGTATTTTGGAAGATGCTATTACTCTAAAACATTCATTAAAGAAAACTGCAACTAAATGTCAAAAGACCAAAGGTAATTCTTTGAAAATTTTCACTAAGTTTCCTTAAAAAGCAAACCAAAAAAGATCGCATTCCAGGAAGACACTTCAAAGTCAATAAAAACGTGCTCACCAAGAATAATCTGTGTAGTGGGATTTTGGATTTTTTTCCAAAACCAAAACAAAACCCACACTTAATCACTGAGGTTTACGAATCAATTCCAACATGTTCATATCCACTACGAAATTTCAAGTAAAAAATTAAACTGTGTAAGCAGAAATTACATTTATAATATTTACAAATCAAACAGCAGCATGTCCTGTACGTGTCCCCAGTATCAGAGCACACCTGGTATGTCTAAGGAAAACCCATTTGAGGTGGTAGAAGAGAAATGTTTCTACCGTAATCAGCATTTGGGAGACTAAATAGTACAGAAAAATACCAAGTTCTGCATTGTGATTTGCCTCTAAAGTCTTCAGAAGCTGTATACTACCAGGAGAGTTCTATTAACTGATAGAAAACATCAGCTTTCATTTATTTATTTTAGTAAGATCTGACTTCTCCCAACCAGCCACATCCATTCCTCAAGACACTGGTTAACTTAAGAGTTTCCACAACTGAAATTTTGTGGTAATAAACTGAAAATGCAAAACATTCACCTATTTGCAATTCAAGATGTACTCGAGCAGACAGTTCACCTACAGAAGGTGATCATTTAATACTAGTCTATAAAACACACTTTTGTTTAACATTCTTGAAGCTGCTCTTCAAATAATTGATCCCATTTTATCTTTGTCTTTTTTTACCCTTCCAACACCCTCTTGTTGCTGAAAACTAAATTCTTGTGCTCTGTAGTACTGTATTATTTAGTTTAAGAAATGGGCAATTCTGCAACAGAAAAATCTAAGATTTTTTTTCCAAGTACCTGATGACATTTGCAAAGATCTAGCTGTAAATACATTCACAGCTCTCAATTATCTGTAGTTTATGCAGGTTCACAGGGCACACTATCAGACTCCCCAGGCTGACAGGCACACTATACAGACACAATTTAGATTCATCACTTAGGAGCACTGCATCTGAGGGCAAGCTCGAGCCTGGAAACAGGCTATCTATTTTCATGAAGCACAGTGCCTGAGATAATAAGCCCTCTGGACCCAAGGCAAATCCATGCAGAGGCAACTCAGGTGTATCAGCATTATGCTGCTAATACCAGGGAGACTGAGGAGAGCAGGATGCAGAGATAATCTAATAGTCCTACACTGAATCAGCCTCAGTTCAAACACTGTTCATTAGCTCCAGCCTTACTAGGGTGAGCAGGCTCCTGCAGAACCCCTCAGGCTCTCCTAGCTGTCTAAATTACTGTCCTAGGCACACTGCTGCTCAAATGCAGAGGTAGATGGGGTCTGGCACTGAGCTGTGGCTAATAAGCTCCAGGGAGTGCTGAGAAGGGAAATTAAGAGATTCCTGAGTAGCTCTATGCAGAACGAATCATGATTTTCTCTTGGCTGAAGGTAATAAACCTCAATAAAGTCAAGCTGAATCTGTGAAGTGCCACTGAAACACCCCTGTAGAGCAGTGCCCAGTGAACGCCACGGTGCTGTTATCTGGGTTTTGCCAACAGCCAGGCTAGTGACTGCCAGTACTCTGCACAGTGAAAAGCTGACAGCACTTCTGTTCCCAAGCTAGGCATAAAGTGTGGAAACAGCAATACACACAGAAACAGTCTCCTTCTACCATGGGAAATTTCTTTTCTGGTGTAACAACCAGACCTCAAGGAATTACCTTTAAAAGGTCAGCAATGAATGGGTAACTCCTTTCATCTAATAATGCCACAGCACTACTGCCCAGACACCCATTTCTGGAGCATTTTAGGTCTTCTAACACACCCATCTGAACAGCAAAGTACAGTCTTCAGACACAGGGAAGCAAAGGACTGAGGTAATTCTTCACTCTCATCATCATCGTTCAATAGATTAACTCTATATGTACATTTGAAGTTAGCAACATTTAGTTAATAACATAGAAACAATAGAATTACTATTTTCTTCAGTCTGTGGTATAAAATCAAGGCAGGTGTAATCAAACAAGTCAAATTTGTCAACAGCAGAACAGCCAAATACATCACAGCTTCAGGACCAAATGCAGGTAAAACCACACGGTCTGTGAGTGATCAGTAGCATTCCAGATGCATAACATTTTATCAAGCAAAATGTTACTTAAATATCTAAAATAATTTTTTTAATTTAAATCAGAGCAAATCTTTGCTGCAAGGCAGGGGTGTGGCTGAGCTGCCAGACACAGAATGAGGTAGAACTGGATATAGGCTCAGGATTCAGGTATTCCCTTTCCACCAGCCACAAGCTGCAAGCAATTTTATACCTTCACTACCAAAAATAAAAGCCAAACAACCTCTGACTTTACCACAGGAAAGAATATACAACAATGACAAACTACCATATTACCAATCATATGGATGAATGCTGAGACATGCCAGAAATTTATATTAGCTTCAAACATTGCCTCTATTTATTTTTAAAGAGCAGCAGATGCATCTTCCAAAGCTAAGCACCACAAAAGTCATTCAACTGCAATTTTATCATGGTCAGTGGCTGATACAGGCCTACATTTCTCCTAAGTACCCAGAATAATCACTTAACACTTCTCCAGCGCTTTCTCTCTCAGGGCAAAGTAGATCATTTACTAATTCTTTTTAAGATGTTTTTATAGTACAGAGTTGGTTATCCAAAGGCATCTCTTGTCTGACAAAAGGTCCTGTTTAGAAAGCATATCGATGGACAGGGGTCTGCAATAACAGGCCTTTGCCATTCAGATTAAACTGGCTGAAACGTTCATGCATTTGTCCGGGAGAGGAAGGAAGGTGGATTTAAGAGTGTATTTTTAACATGAAGACAAGGCAATAAACAATAATAAAACTTTGAAGTTGTTCCCTGCTTTGAGATGGGGGTTGGCCAGATGACTTTCAGAGTTCCTTCCAACCTAAATTATTCTACAATGCTAACACTTACATAGAACTTGAGAAGAGCACCATCTGAATTGCAACACCAGGATCTTCTTCCCAAATACTCGTGAGCAGTGTTCAGCAGCATGAGTGAAGAAGGCAACATAGGGGTATCAGGACTCACTGGAAAAAAGAAATTGGTAAGTATTTAAGTAGCACAGAACTGAGTTAAATCCAACAGCAAATGCTTCATCTGGCAAAAATAAGTTTCCTCTACGATAAGAAAGTGATGTTTGCATACCCCTGTACTCCCTTCAGCCAGCAAGATAAGATGACAAACAAGTATCTTCTTACTTACATTCCAGAGCTAGATGGTAATGAGCTCAGCTCCAATATGTAAAAGTGAATAGTTAACCCACCTTCCTCTCCCTGGTTCTGCTGCTGTTGGCAGCAAAGGGATCGAAAAGCATCTTCCTCATGCTGAATGATCCTGTGCAGGATAATCCACGGAAGCACTGAGGAGACGTATGGTTCTTTTGGTTCTTCCGGGACTGCCATGCTGCAGTCTATGATCTAATAAAGAAACAAATATTATACAGACAAAGTGATACCAAATAAACAGTGGGTGTGAATCCTTTCCAAACATCCCAAAGTTGGCAATGCATTTTATCCTGAGGAAATAATCTAAAGCTGAGTCAGCTTCTCACAATTAGTGGTGGTAGAAGTCCTACATCAACTGCTATGGGGAAGGGTAGAAGATCACTTCCCCTACCCTGACATTCCTCTTGCATCATCATTTTCCAACTAGTTATTTCTCTGTTAATACCATATATAAACAATTGAAAGTAGGCAAATGTGCAGCATAAATTCTTAGCGTTAGTACTGTTGTACAGCCTCATTGCTGTACAATAAATTTATCTACAATCCAGCAAGGAAGAAGAACTTAGCTAAATGAATTTCTGAATTCTTTACCAGGTCTTCTAACAACTGTTAAAGACCAACTAGAATCATTAACAGATGCTTATATAAATGATGTAACTGAATAAATTCTGAGCAACACAATGCTGCATCATGGAACTGTTGTTCTAGCATTTCTCATAGACAACTGCCCATTTTATTGCCACAGTGCCAGAAATTTCTGAAGTCCTACACTTTCATCACATACAACAGTTTTCCTGTGGGTATTTATGTAGATGAAGAATCATATTTGTTATTACTACAGAAACCATTTAGGACATTACAATGAATACTCTCTTCTCCAGAATTCCACTACATTCCATAACATAGTGACACACACACAACTTTACACAATGAGAGTATGATTTTGTGAGTAGTGAAATCTTTGGCTTTTACTGAAGTAAATGGAGATTAGAGAGCTGCAAGCACATTGAATTTTGACATTAACTAGAGCAGCGTCTTAACAGAACTGAGAGTCTGCCATTTGTTACCTGGGCTGAAAGATACGCGTTCAGTAGTCTAAAGCTTTGAAAGTACCTTCTTTAAAAGGCTAAAATTAGCTGTATTTGTAATAGTAGAAACAGTCCACACACTTTTTTCCTGCCCTCTTCTGCTTTTACTGGAACAACCCTTAGCTTGGCCAGTGCTTGCATGCAACTCCACCATGTCTGTAAGGCTTACAGGATCGTCTTCCAGCCCAAAGCACTTACAGCCACGACTAGTGCCATAACTTCCAGCCAGCCAGCTCAGTCTTTGCATTACCACCATTTCAGACAGCATAAGAAAGCAGTGTTGTTCCTTGGGTTATCTTACTACCATTTGACTATTTTAGGCAGCTTGGTGTTTGAAGGTATCTGCTGTTACTGATTCTAGCAGAGGTGTGCTCAGTGCATCTCTAACAAACTGAAATGAAAATTAAAACTATGAAGGTAATGCTATGAGGGTCATCTTCCCCTGACCCTCTCCCAACAAAAACGTAACCCAAAACGTCACTGTGAGTGGGTGGCAATTCAGACAGCAGCTGTATCATGTCTGAAGGTCTGTAGCACACAATACTTCTTTCCTAGTGCAAGTGAACAGGTTACCTGAATCAGGTTGTTTGTTAATCGAATGAGGCTTGGTGTTACAGAAGAGTCTTTCAGGATGCTGTCGACTGATGATAATGAAGTATCTATTCCTGCAAGCAGTTGTGTTACCGTAGCAACCCACTCTTCTTTAGCAGAGGCTGCTGTCGCATTCATCATCTGCTGAATTGCTTCATTGAAGGCAACTTCTGAGTGTTCAAAGCATTGCTTGTAATCTTTCATTTTGAGCAGGGAGTCCTAGGGAATGTAAATATGAAAAACATCTATTATAAGGATGAAGGGTTTATTTTAAACCATGAATGCACAGCAGGGCAAAGAAATACACTACATCCAGTTAATGTGGTTACTTTAATGAAACGATGACAGAACACCTTTAAATATGACATTTCAAAAGGACAACAGGAGGTGCATGGACCCTGTCTGACAAATATACAAGTGGGCTCTAAATTTCAAAAAAACCATCACTGAATCTTTCTGCTTTAATAAGAGATGCAAGAAAAAAAATACTCAGGAAGGAGGTGGCTGTAGGTCTAAAATTCTAACACTATGCAGTGGAATAGATGCCCTACAGAAACAGGGGTTGGACTTTTATGATCTTGTGCTATCATTTTATTACTTCATAAATAACAAAATAGCAACTATAAGGCTAGCATTATAGCAACATCCTCCTGCTTCCTTCTCCTCTACCAAGTCTGGGTCACAAGGTGGCACGGAGGCTATAGGATTTGGTTCAGTCCAGTTAAAAGAGCATCAGTCTTTTTGTGCAACCTTTTTTTTCCCCCCCCAGAGAACCTGACAGGCTCAAATTGTTCCTGCAGCTGAGCTCATTTGCACACTTATTTTCATAGTGTCACATGGACTAAATCTACAGCAATTATACTGGATGTATCTATCCATGGTTTGTCATTCCCACAGGACAGATACACTACATCATAAAAATCATTCCTATGCTAGACAACTTTTAAGTTTCAGAATGTTGTAAATCATCATATAGTCAACATCAACAAAAGCAAGAAGTATTCACAGCAGATGCAGCTAGCATGAATGTATCCATAAGACATCCCTGCAAATGATTTAAGTTTATTTGAATTTATAATTATCCTGGCCATTTCATGTAGGCCTCAGATATCTTATATCTTTAGCTACACTCCCGGTTACCAAAGGCTGACATTTTGCTAAAGATGTCAATAAAGTTATGCTGTTCAGATCATTTACAGATTTGGTTCCATGTTTTCCTCTGTAAATAAAACTCGTTAACCACTAACACCCACTCTAGAAATTCTTTCATCCTATTTTCAGGAAGAAGTCTTAAACCCTTTACTAAAAAAGATTTTTTAAAAGACGAGACGAACCTGAAGGAGAAGCAGTTGTGCTGGTCTCTCTGGTATGGATGTTACAAATTCCAGATGTTTAGCTCTACCATAACCATTAAAGCAAAGTGTTGGACGAAGCAGATGCACCACTGCATTATAATCCCCTGCCTCATACAGTCGCTGGATCTCTTCCAAAGACTGGCACCTCTCCAGAGATTTTAGGTTCTTTTCAATCTGCAAACATCACAGATGGCACAATCCAACTTTCATTTTCTCTTCAGTTACATTTGACTACTGTGACTTCTCCAGCAGTTTAGCTGTAAAGCTACGTGAACTCTACAGCTACATCCAGGAACATAAACCAAGAAGAAAACATTGACTATGTAACACTTCACCCCATTCCAGAGATTTTTAATTATTATATAGTATATGACTTTAGTGCTATAATGATTTTAAACTTTTCTGCCTCAGATTCCAACATTACACATTTCTACACTGCAAGAATACATCCATCAGATGGACTTCAAAGTGAAGAGGACATCTCCTGTGTTGGGACTTCATCCTCTAAATCAGCAATAGAAAGAACAGAAGATGGACATCCCTTTGTTTAACGGTGTACACAACTTGTTATGTGGAAAACAGACTGCTGAAGAGCTCATTTAAGCAAAGGTGAAATTTATGTTTAAGAACAGAAAATAAAACATTAATCTAATAATCTACTGTTCTACATGCAGCTGCTCTAATATTTTTATTTTGCATAAAAGCATTTTAAGTTGTACAGAACCAATAGATCCAAGAGGTGTCTTTTTGAAAAGGAGATGATGGCCTTCACATCATCATTAAACTATGAACCCGTCCTTTCACTCTTAGAAACATTCTAGGACTGATAGGGTAAACTTCCATCACCAAAGAGCTAATTCATAAATGACCTTTGAAATTGGGAGGGATGGACTGGGGAGAATATACCTGCAAATTAATTTTACCTCTTCTAAAGAAACAACAGAATCAACATGTAGATTAGGTAACCGTATGACGATGCTGCATTCATCGCCAGCTTTAGCTTGCATTGTAGTGGAGCTCTGTAGCATTTCAGTGCAGATATCATAGTTTTCAAGTGCCTGTTCCATGTCTCCCTATAGAAACAGAACAGAGGAAAACAAACAAATAAAAAAACCTAGAGTTCTATCTGCAGCAAGGGTTTCTAAAGCACGTAAAAAATGTTTAAATTCAATGCAGACACTGCCAGTGTGATTACTGTACATCGTCCCAAATAAAAAACAAATTCAACTGACAATCTCAATTTTTAAAAAAGCTGCAGTATATTTTACCAGTGACTTTAATAACAAGTAAAATAAATCAGAGAAATAGAGTTCAGCTTGCATAGATTAAGAAAGATTAATTTGGATTGCAAAAAAACCTTTCCTTTAAAAACATGGAAGAGTAAAACAGCAGAAATAACTCTTCCATTTGTGCAAATGAAAACACCAAGTCAAGAAACTTTCTCACATTCAGCAAAATGAATGCATCCTACTCGCTCTGTCCAGCTGAAGTAGATACTGAAGTTGAGTGGTAAGGAGTTGAATGCAAGCTGTACACACAAAATATAACTCTGTACATCTAAAGAAAAAATGGCAGTGGCCATATAGGAATTCTCATTTTTCCTCATGTAAGTTTATTAAAAAGGAATCCTTAGACATAAAAAATAAAAATGGAAGGAATTGGTTATTTCACACTTATGAAACTGACTCACATTATTAGTTAACAATTGACTTGAGCATAATTGATGCATAAATAAACTCTTTGATGTCCTGGGGAAGCAACACTTGGAGGGAAAAGAAGTCTGGGATCAAATAACATTTCTTTTAAATTATTCCCTTAGTGATGGGTTTAAAATCCTCTGCATCAAAATATGCATATTAACTTAAATGTTCTTCCAAAAGAAGAATCATGCTACCTTGAAAAAGCAGAGGAGAGAGTAATTAAACATACAGTCTGCTTCAGCTGAAAGCTCCATTTTAGACTGTCTGGGACTTTGATAGAATCACTGGTCCAGGTCCCAAAAAATCCATGTTCTGCAGCTAGACAATACTCTTCCAAATTTATTTGGTTCAAAATTTTTTTTTAAGCTGAACATGACCTAATTTAAACAAAGACTTACATATTAAACATACCTGAACATTAGCTTAGCATGTGAGACCTCCTACTTAATATCCACCTCTACCCTTCCGGATAGCTAATTATATTAAAAAGTGAAATTAAATCGCTATGTTTTGAGATTACTTTATGTGCATGCTTAAATGAGCTGAGAATCCCAAATCAACTGTAGTGTCTCTGAAACATATTGATTTTAATTTGGGAAAAGTTTTATTTGTTAAATTAAAACAAACCTGCAGCGCCAGAAAGCGAGCTTTCAGCCAATACACCCGAGTGACAAACTCCATCCAGCCTTCCTCAAACAAATCTCGCTGTGAGGATGCCAGTGACAGCTGCAACAAGTCTCCCAAGAAATGAGTTCCTGGGAAGTCAGGACCAAACTTTCCATTCACAGAAGCAGCAGGGCAATTTCGTGGAGAAACTGCAAATGAGTTAGTTACATTTTATCATAAGGTTACTAGCTTCTCATGAAAAGAGCCCCACACACCAGCATTTCAAAAGTATTGATCTACTTTCAGGCAAACAATTGACAGACCAATGAAACACAGATCTGAAAGATATTCATTAAGAAAAATACAGCTCCAAAATCCAATGAATTCCTGGAAACATTTCTTCATATACCTTGAGTGTTTTTAGAGTCTGAAGAAAGTAACATTCAGTTCTCACCTGTAGAGCTCTTCCCTTTTGTCAGTAGCCACTGATCTAACTGCAGTTCCATGCAAGAAAGGCTCATCAACATCATATCCTTCAGGAAAAGTATGGAGATACCAAAAAACAATATACAGGAAGAAAGACATTAAAGGAAGAATAAAAAAACCCACCATTAAATTTGCAATTTACTTCAAAGAAAACCTTCAATTTGTCCTCTCGGGATTTCTATTCCCAAGCTATAACCACTGCCTCCTCTGTCTAAAGGTGTATAATAGCATTTTCAAATCAACAGGTACAAAACAAAACAATACTCAGGAGGAGCATTTTTAAAAAAATATAAAAATCTCAGCTTGTAAAAGAAGGCAGTCAGAACTGCATTGCCTGATGTTAGAAAATAGTGACATCCTTATATTCGTATCTGGCTGAAATAAAACTATATTAAATTGCTAAATCATGCTAAAAGCATGTTTCTGGAATATAGCAGAAGTGATATATTGAGAAATAAAAGAAATATCCTATAATTTTTTCAGTATTTATATCTCCATGAGACTGAGTATGTACTTTAGTGTTATCAGCTTACTAATGCTTGCTGGATAAAGTTCATGAGTATATTAAAAATCACGCCACCATGGCTCTGTGCCAGGTAGTTTTGTGCAGTGAAGGACATACTATTTTCAGATTAAATTCATAGGAATAAGGGCTACAGGCCCAGCTGTAAAAACCAGGTGCTTGTGAAAAAGGTTCAAAAGTCCATACACGTTACCAGAACAGCCCTTTACAATCTTAAAAACACAAATTTATTACACTCAGGATAGCTTGCAGATCAATTTTAAAATAAATTCAAGAATGAAAAAGAATAGAAAAGCGTGAGGACAGTGATTTTTACAAGTACAGCTACAAAGTCTTGATTTTTTAAATTTTACATACAAGCAAGCAGTTATGCAGCCATAATGAGAGCCAAGGGATTACATTTATAAATATATTTACATTTGTTTAAAAAAGGGTATGAATACGTGAAAAATATACACAAATACAAAAGTCACAGGATGTATAAAAAAATTTAACATTTGCTACATAGTGATACTTTGGTTTGTTTTGTAAACTAAGTCAATGGGACATAGTTTTCAGAATCAATTTTTCATTTGCAAAAAAGTAGAAATATCGTTGATCTGAAAAAAATATTTCAAACTGCAGACACACAAAAGGCAAATAACTTCCCAAATGAATAGACATTTCTAACACTGAAAAGACAACACAGGCAGGCTCAGCGGAAAAGAAGTATCAGTGCTGATTTTATAATTCAAGAAGTATCATCTTGTGTCCCTAATCTGTTTTAACATTAATTTAATGAACTTATATTTTTTTTTCTACTTGCATTTGTGAAATCTAAAGATTTATAAAGGTAATAAAATGGTGATGGTGTGATTATTTTTGGTTTATTGTTGGGTGTTTGTTTTTTTTTTTAACTGTAAATGACAGGTTATTTTAAAACTAAACTGTGTTTACCCTTATTTAGAGCAGAAATGCTGACCCTCAATCAGCCAGCATGAACAGAGCAGCCACTCTACTCACCTGATGACAAAACAAAACTTTGCATCGTATTAGAAGCAAAGGGAGGGAAGAAAAAGAAAGAGCAACAACAGAGTAAAGGAGTAAAACATATGTATGTCTATAAGCATGTGTGTACACACACATATTATGTATAGGCTATACTTGCATATAGCATCACCCAGATCTGTTCAGGAGCTCAGGAACAAACAGTTACGTGAGCTGCAGCACACCAGAGCTTACACAGGTGCATCAGCTGGGGCAAGCAGCTTCCCAGATAGAACTAAGCAAAACCTGTGTCTAATTCCTGGATTTCAGTTAGGTACTTTTGTACACAGAGAGCAACACAGCAGCAAATAGAAGTATATGAAAAAGTGTTTCATTACCTTGATATGCTGATTACTTGAGTCCCTCAGTAATGGATTGGGAAGACTACTGCTGTGCTTTCTCCAGCTATTGTAGATACTCAGGACCACCTCACACAAGCCAGGAGGCCACTTCACTAGGAACTTTTGGCTGATAACTTTTAGATATCTCATCATCAGCTCCAAGATCCCACCATTGTTCAGGTTATCCAGTAGGAATTCATGAACATCCTGTTTTTCTAGAAAGCAGATAAACACAAGGCCGTACGTGTTTAAGGTCAAGGCAGATCATAACTTGAAACAAATACATTTCAACAGTGTTTTATGCACTAATCTTGCAGCAGTTCTCCTGTGCTGCATACGTGCAGAATTAAGTTATTGTATTCCAGTCTGTTTAAATGGGAAACTCCACACAATAGAGCTCCTGCACACAGTAATTAAGCAGTCCTTAAGACTTAAAAAATCACATCTATTCCCAACTGAGATATTTCTATGCCATAAAGTTATACTTGTAAAAATAAGATATACGTCTGTATGTTCTAGATATGACAGGAAAATACAGAAAATAAAAGCATACAATATGGAACAACAGAGAAAGAGTGGGGGTTATAAAGAAATCCTTACCTGATTCCATAAATGTTGTGGAATCAAATGACATTCTATGTGGTCCAACATGCTGGAAATTCTCCTCTTTGATCTCTGACTGCACCTCATAGTTATTGAAAGGGTCCTCCTCCTCCTCTGGATCTAATTTCCTTAATCTGTGTGAAAGGGGGGCAAAAACCACAATATCAACAAAATCTCATTCTTTCTTTCACTAGTATATGAAACCTGAACATGGCACGTTGTGCACATTTTAACAGTGAAAGTACATTAAACTGCAGCAAATTCGGAGACTGACATTCAGTTCTCAAACTTTGTCTAAACCAAGATTACCTTGTTTGTTTATCTTACCCATTTTGACAGCTGCATTGTCCTCTAATTCAGTTTCACATTAATAAAAGCTTTCTTATTTTTCAATTAGTTTTTAGTAATTTTCACTAAAAACAGTTTTACTAAATTATAAGAAGACAATGCATCATATCTGCTTCAAAAAATAGCATGGGTCTAGTGGTTTTAAGGTTGGGGCACATCAGCCAAACAAAACCCCAAACAGCTTCCTCTACTTAGCTCCTGATACTCTTGTAATGGAAGTTCCTGCTGTACAGTACCTGGAAGGAAGGAATTTCACCAACAGTTCTTGAAAATCAACCTTCTCCTCTTTTTTACACTTGGTGTTCCGGACTCTAGCAGATCTCCTTTTTGCTGTTTCACCACTATCTTCTGTAATTCTCCTTCGCTTCACACCTTTCTTAGATTTATCACCTGCAGACATGTCACCTAGAAACAGAATTAAAAAAAAAAATATTTAAAAAGATACCGATGGGTTAAATTGCCAAACAAAAAAGTGATTTGTGGCTGACACTTTATTTATTCAACAGCAACACCTAAGATTCGTTAGTTTCCTTCTGAAGACAGTGCCAAAAATTTAAAAATAATAATTTTTAAAAATCACTTTAATATAAGCTGGCTATGGTATTTTGCATTAAAATGCTGGTCTGAGACAAGAAGCAGAATTACTGAAAATTCTACATTTAATTATTCATTAGAATTTATTAGTTTAGTCTTCAAGAACATTCTGAAATGGGAATCAGAAGAATCTGCTTTTAACTCCCCAAACATCTGTAAAGTTCCATAAATATCAACAAAATACTGGTAACTCCTTGGTAGATATGTACATATACAGCTACAGTATAAAATATTCATACTTCTTGCTATAGATTTCAAATAAATACAGCTGACAGCTTGGTTCTCTCAGGTTCTTAAAAATCAAACATAAGCAGAAGAATAATCCAGTCATCTTTTTTCTGTAATAGCTCATTCATTTTAAGGAGCTCAAGACTTCACAACAATAAAAGCTTGACAAGCATCACTGCTGGAACAGAGTCATGATTCTTCTAATCTCAAAGACTGAAAAACTGAGGTATGAGTCAACAGCACAAAACCAGAAGAGGTTAGATACTCCTGCACTGCAGTAACAATTAAGAACAACAAATCAACGTGACTCTCAATTCCATTTGATAGGAAAGTAAAAGTCCACTGTCCTGAACACTGGTGCTATGTCTTAGTCAGGAATCGATGATTCAGACAGTTGAGATGGCCTTCCTTTTCTAATGTGAAGGGTTAACAGAACTTCATCTTATAGAGCTCAACTTCACTTTTTCTACCAGAGGTTATATATATGCTGAAAAGGTTCTGAATCAACCAACAGCAGTTTAAAGACAGCATTTCCCAATGAATTCTGTAGTGCTTTTAATACCCAGATAAGTAGGAAAGATATCTTGAATCTTAGACTGAAGTACCTTGCTCACCTACAGTAGCTCCTGGTTCCAATGAATTCTGACTGTGACTTGGAAAGTTGGGTGTCATTGGAGTAAAAGGTAACACAGGATCTGGCATTGTCACCACTGGATTAGTGGTGACAGGAGTTGGCTGAATAACACTGACAGGAGTAGAGGTAGGAGAAAGAATCAAATGTTGAACTGGGTCTCGGTATTCTGAGAGATCAATTCTCTTTCCCAGACTGGGTCGAGGAGGATCACATGTTGTGAGGTGGTGATACATAGCAAGTAAAGCTTCTCCTAAACACTTCCACCTGCATGTGGAAACACAATGGCAACACAACTTCATTAATTCTTGTCACATTATTTTCTAAATTATATTTACAAACCTAATAGCATTCAACATTATTTTTCTCCGCTAGCTTAGAGGTAGCAAGAGCAGCTTTTCAGTGGGAGAGGAATACACATTTGAGTGTCAAAATTTGCCCCATGACTAGAAGAGCTGGAAAATATCTTTCTGTATTTCCTGTCATATGGACCATTGACAATTTCAGGCCTAGAACAGAGGTCCTTAGGAGCTTTCCTTCTAGAACAAACTGCTTAGAAAAACAAGAACAAAATGTGGCAGCAGGCAAAAGTTTTCAGAGGAAACTGGTGAGTTGGTTGCAGTAGGAAGGAAATGGGAGTCAATACTGTGCCTAATCTCAAAAAAGGTCTCTAACGAAAAAGGTCTATGCAGTAGTTGCTGAGGAAATCACTCTATACTGTACCCTAAAAAAAGTAATGTGAAAGGATCCATTTTCAGGTTCTGCATTCAATCAACAACAATAAAAATCTCACCCTTACCCACAAGTAGTAGCAACTTCTCTGCAATAAGATCTGCATGCAGAATCCATTAATATTCCAGAAAAATACGTGCAATAAAAAACCCCAATCCTTTACGCCTTGACTTATATAACAGCTTATTAGTATCCTTATATCTTGCTGCAAATAAAGAACTGTAATTTGTTTCTGAGTTTCCATTATCCCAACAGTAAAAATATTTTTTAAAAAGCTAAGTTTACTTTGAAGTCCATATACAAATTAGTCATATATTTATAAAACCCAATAACACAGTTGAAATGGCTGCCAAATAATTCTTTTTTTAATTTTTTTTTTTTTACATCACTGGTTTTAATTCAAACATTGAAAACTGATAGATATGGGGTTTATGCTAAAATTGTAAGCACACCAAACCAACCTATAAACTCATAAAATATGAAAACACTGTGGGGGTTATTTGTTTTTACAAGAAAAAAATAATGTTCTGAAGAAATCTGAAGGTCAACAGAGTTGTCAGCATAAGTGGCTTCAGAGGAACATTTTAAAAAGAGAAAATACAAAGACATACGTGAAAAAGGGAATTGGCTGGACTAGTCTGAGGTCTGGTTCTCTCTCACGCACTAGCAAAGCTTGTCTTTTCTTACGTAGCTCCAGTGCTTCATCTATGATTCTTCCTGTTTCAGCTGCACTCACATTTACATTATGGATAGACATGTCACTAAGAAATAATAATGAAGATAAGTTAAAGGTTTTGGTTTTTGGTTGATACTTGTGGTTTGTTTTTTTTTTTAAAGCCTAGGGAGATTAATTTCATATCTTCCTATAATGTAGTAAAAATAAACAGTGTTAAAACAAGCACTCAAATAACATTATTTTACAAACTTTATAGCATCCATATAGAAGTGTTCACATTCTGAAATCTATGTTCTGCCTTAAAAAGAAAAAGATAAAGGGAGATTGTCCTGTTCTGTTTTCCAAACACCGAGAAATGAAAGAAAAGCAGGAGGTTTTGTTTTCTTTCTGAGACAGAAGTTTTTGGTTCAGGAAAAAATTGTATGGCTGAGAAATTCCTTTCAAAGTACAAGAGATCTAAGTATGAAATAAATGAGCAGCAGCAAAGAGATTTTTTGCCTCTTTCTACCTCCCTCCAAAAGTAATTACTGAATAACATTCTGTCAGCAGCACCAACACTTAACATTTATTTATTATTTAGAAGGTGGGTCAGCAAGATATTGTTATAGCTTAAAGTTTTATATCTCATCAGCTTTTCTGAACTGTCCCAAACCCAAAATGTACACTCCAAATGCAGTATATACTATAAGATGACATTCACCATTTGAGGAACATCCTTAAGGAATCTTTCTGGAGGCAAGGCTGCTCCTCAAAGATCTTCTCCTTCAGAACCAGTCCTTTGCTATATAGACAGTCTTTTTCCAGAGCTTTGCAGATAAAGTACAAACACGCTGAGAGAGGAATAGAAATTAAATGGTCAATCACCACTTTGTTTCACTCAAAAGCTCCCATTTCTGGGCTCCATATACACCACTGAATTCCAACTAAATACAACACATAAATTTGACCAATAGCTTTGTAACATGTCCAATCATTACATGCATACAGTTAAAATAACCCGTTATGTATTCCCAAGTATTATATCTAGAAAAAGAATATCATTAATTTTGTTTAAACTATTATTTTCAGTACATGTTTTATTTACTTTCAAGACCCATTCCTACACAAAAGAAATCAGAATCATAAAGCAGAATCACAATCATTTACCATTTTCATGTTATCAGATGTCTTAACTGCAGATTCCATTACTTGTGTAATGTATCTCACCAGGTTTCTGCTTGCATGGGCAATTACATGAAGAGAATTAGGACTATTACAGTAGGACAAACCCAAGGGATCAGATTCAACATTTCTGCCATCTTGCAACTTCTCTCTTAAACTTCCTTTGAATTAGTTTATCCACTGGATATTACTCAAATGTAAAATCCTTGGGTCAGTTGTATTAACTGCTGTAACAACTACAATTAATCATACTAGGCTATAGTTTTATACCAAATCCTGGAACTATGTAGCTGGAAATGACTAGAAAGACAAAATTCAGCATATGCTGCCAGGCAAGAGAACAGTCTACAGGGAAACTTCTTGCAGAGGCTCTGATCTAAGAGACCACAGGCATTTATTTTTAGGGCAACCAGAATTGATAGAAACCATCAGGCTTTATCATGAAATAAAAAAATCTCTGTTATAAAGTAAAAGTCTCTATCATACCCAACTGCTTATGTAAGATAAACTTTCTCCTATAGGACTGCATAGTTATAATTTTTCATTGATATGTAAAATCACATACATCTTGAGAGTTTGTGTACTGTACTTACTTGTGTAGTCACTGAGTGTGTACAAGATTGTGATAAGGTTATCTAAACAAGGCCAGTGATCAGGATTACACCTGAGACCTTCTTCAAAAGCATGACGAGCCAAAGGTAGGCGGATTAGTTTTATTGCCACACGACCAATTTTATACCAGAGGTTGACATCAGTAGAGTCAAGCATTACAGCCTAGAAAGCATAACAAACAACATTATTCACATCTCAGACACGCACATCCACTTGTCTACACAGATTGGCACTCCTTTACTTTTCAGCAGGGACACTGTTGATTTGGAGATGGAATGGTGAACCACTTATATCACACATAACATCAGAAGGTACAACAGAATTCAGCCGTACATACAAATGACACATGCTGAAAGGGGAAGTCTGTATTTTAGCAAGTTTTTGCAAACATTGAAGCTCCAGTGTTTTAGTTCAGCTGTACTATACCTCCAAATAAAACTCCATGGCTGTCTCCAAGTCATCCCGCTGTGCTGCCAGTTGTGCCAGGTTTTTGTAGGTGGAATATTTTAACATCAAGCCTGGATGCTTTAGCCCTTCTTTCTCATCACCAGAAAGAACTGCCTAGAAATGTCAAAATAAATGCAATGCAGGCATTAGGAATTAGACAAGTAAAAAGAGCAGCAAATAACTTGACAATTAATAACACTGGCATTTCTAATTAGACAGTAAGAAATGAAGTAATACAAAATACAACAAAAATGTTTTTTAGAGTTTCATTCTCTAAGGTCACTGACCTCCCGCAGAAGCCGAATCTCAAGCAGCTCATGATAAGCTTTAGCCGACTCTTCAAATCGGTCGTGTTTCTGAAGGTCCAGAGCTTTGTGGTACAAAGCAAAAGCTTCTGCTTCCTGTGGTTTAAAAAATTAGAACCTATTTTGTAGAGTAACTTTATTAAATACATTTAGTACAACATACTTATAGTCATTATTAATATCAGTGGTTTCACACTTTTAATACTTTCTGCTGTACAGTAGTCCACATGCAGACTGTAGAGCAGAACTTTAGGCTTACTGACCTGATGTAACTCCTTTGAGTGAAGTTTTAGCTCGATAAAGGAGGGTTCAAGAAATAAAATGGAAACACAACTTTCTTAAAACCAAAAGATGATGACTGAACAATCCCCACAACAAGAGAGGACAAAACTCCCATTGAGACACAACTCCATTAAGGAAATTGTGGGTTTACTTACTTGAGCTTCCTTTGTCTGTGTCTTATGACTTTTGAAGGTACCTTCATAGTCATCCTCAACTGTGGAGCTCGCGTTCAGTGCTGCGATTCGAATCTAGAACGACAGTTGAGATGTGACAAGAAATGTCACAAGTGTGTGACAAGTGTGACAAGAAATGTCACATCTACATGGTCCCTGTTTCCCTTACAAACTGTCTTTTTCTCATGTTTTTACTTCACTTGGTAAATGGACTATATTGAGACATCTCTACATAAAGTTACAAGAACTGCAAGAAGTTTAGTCAACTCTAATTCCAAACAATAATATATCAAAACAATTCCACACCCCCCCTCCCAAATCAGTTGATAAAACAAAATTCCAAGTGTCTTGCAAGCAACAGCTTCCCTAGAATGGACGTGTGCATTATAGTTATTTTTTTTTCCAATTCTTAATTTACCAATAACTACAACCACTCCAAAAACAATGTTCTCATTATACCGATTTATTCTCAGTCCCAGGTAAATATAAAATTTTCTATTTTGTTTCTACAAAAACATCTCAAAAACTGTCTCAATAAGCCCTTACCATGTTCACAGATATTCACACCTTCTCTCTCCAGGCTTAGGAGGACTGGCCTAACATAAACAGGGCTGGAAAGAAAACAGGGTTAGAATATTTATTCTATCCATAAAGAAAGCATTCAGCAGTAAAAGACATGCTGGAAACACTTTAATCAATAACCAGTTAACGGTCCTATGTAACCACCCGCCCATGCCAAAAGACAATTGCCCCACCACACAGGAACAAGAACATTAAAGTGAATTTTAACTAGAGATAGAGCATAAAATACAAAGTTAATACAGTCATTACTTCAGGATGGCTTTCAAAACACTAGTCCTGGCAGTGAGGGGGGAGTGGAAGTATCCACAACATAATTACAGCTCTGAGGTTATTCAGTCACTATGTAACATTTAATGAACACACATTATACTAACAACATTACAACATCAATGTCTTTAATGACAAAAACTAAAACAAAAAAAGCTCCTTGAATACTCTGGCATTTTATGAGCATGAATCATTATAGCTTTATAACACAGCTGTCTCTTCTGAGCATGTTCACCAGCTTTTACTGACCACCTCTAGTGCAAAAGCAAGTTACAGGCACTGCATAAGCACTTAGATCTATTGGATTTATGCAAACAAAAGAAACTGAACTTTTACTAACTAGTATTTCTTCATTCTGAAGGAAGGATAATAACTTTTATAATATTTCAAATCTTTTTACCACTGATAAAAAGTTTAAAGGGGAAAATACACATTTATAATCTCTTAGTCATTTTTCCTCATAACTAAACCCATAATTTATATTCTATTAACTGCTTGAAACAGTATGTTAGTAAAAGCAAAAAATGAGAGAGTTCTGTGCTGCTTTTTTAGAAAAGCCTCACTGCCATGTGATAAAACCTTCTCACCAACTCAAGCAAAAAGATGACACACGCAAGACAGGCTAAAAACATTCTTTAATATAGGAGATCACATTAATAGAAGAATAACTCCAGAATTAACCACAGCAGGAAGCAGTGGGAGTTTTGAACTCCAAGCTGAATTAACTCATACATCATCGTGATTAGTTCTGCATGTAGAGAAAATAATGCTTTGACAGGAATTTCATTCACTCAGCAGTGATGTTTTGCCTGCCCATGCACTACTTACTTGCCTCCCTTGCAGCTAAATCAGACTGACAACTGCACAGCAATGGAGTATTATTCTCTTTAAGTCACTAAATAACCATTAATAAAACCTCATATGTCTTTCAAGACAGGGATTCCTTGTCTACTTTGCATACAGAGAAAATATTAATAGTTACCTCTTTCAGAAATATTGAACGCCTCAGGTTTTAACAGACAGTACAGATGCTTATGACATCTAAATAAACAAGACTGTATGATCCCAAATCAATTACATATTTAAATGTAGTGCTTTTAAGGTCACTTACAAATATGCCTATATTCAGATATATGCTCAAGTCTTTTGCTGAATCCACAGAATCTTGCTCAAGGCAGAGAGGAAGTCAAAAGGAGAGAGACTACAGTCAAGAGTTTCCTCCCGTGGTTAGACTGCCAGTGAAACTGCAGAAACTTCAGAAAAGGTGGGGAAACTATTTTAATTCCACTTTTTACAAATACTTAGCACCACTCCTCTCTGGTGCTCACAAGTTGAGAGAGCATAACCAAACAGAACAGTGTAACATTTCTGAAAAACAGGACAAGGCTATTGCCTCCACCTGGCTTTTATGCTGGTGTGGCAGGCAGGTGGGGGGGGTGGAGAGCAGCCCTGCAGAGAGGGACCTGGGGGTTCTGGTCTATGGCAAGCTGAACATGAGCCAACAGTGTGTCCTGGCAGCCAAGAGGGACACCCGTGTCCTGGGGGCATCCAGCACTTTGAGGGAGGGGATCGTCCCGCTCTGCTCTGCACTGGGGCGGCCTCACCTCCAGCACTGGGGGCAGTTTGGGCACCACGGGATAAAAAGGATCTAAAGCTGCTGGAGAGTGTCCAGAGGAGGGACACAACATTGGGGAAGGGCTTAGAGGGAAGCTGTGTGAGAAGAGATAAAGTCACTGAAGAAGAGACTGAGAGATCTCATGGGGGTCTAGAGCTTCCTCCC